TCCTAAGAATTTGTATCTGAGGAACAAGTTATGGGAATTAGTCACAGGACAAACAATAGCCAGTGAAGAATTATTGAAATATTAGTAGGAAACAACAGTTGATCTGTCTGGTCAAGTAGATGCACTGCTGGCAATTCAAATGACCTTATCCCGTTCACACGAGTCAAAAAATAATACACAGAATTAAACATATTGGTTCGATGAAGAACTCATCACTTTGTGAAATCGTCAAGTGTGATGCAAACATGGAGGCTGCATGATTCACAATAGCATCCGTCATCCAAGGACCGTATGCTGTGATGTAGGTTCCAGTGGTGATCCACTCTGTAAAGTCGGTGAAAATCTGACAAAAGTGACTGTGAAACACAGTTATGCCACACAATAACGATAGTTTAGTAGGTGTTGAGAGTTTCGAATTATTCAGGCTTTTGATTTCATACCCGATCGTCGCTCGCACAAAATTGATTGAGCGATATTTGAGAGTCGAGTGATCTCAGAACAAGAAAGAACTGTAATGAATCGAATTGTATATAGGTGCCTCAACATCTGGTTGGTGCATGTACATTGCAAGTACGACAACGTACAACGTGAACAACAAACATGCTGACCATGATAGGGAGGTGTTGGTTTGTGTAAAATTTCGCATCACAAAGGAAAAGAAAACTGTGTCTGTATCGAACCAGTCAATGTTCGGCTGAAACGGAATGTACATCAATTGCAAATCAGGCAATCATGTGATGAAAGTTCTGTTCATTTGTGAAACAATTGAATGACGGGAATTCGCATGAACTGATGAGCGATATGAATAACTGGTTTAAAAAATCTACTCACGTCTTCTTTCTGGTCTGTCTCCACGGGTGGTGGGAGAAGCTGTAAGTGGAGTGGAGTAAAATGCAGCTAGTTAAGATATTGACAGTGGGGGAAATGTAATTGTTGAATGACGAGATCTCACAGATTCATTTAGAGTACTTCCTAGTCAGGAGTGTTTTTCAGCTTGAATCATTAACGAAATGACATCTCAAATTAGTGCGAATGACACCAAACAACTTGTTTTGTGTGGAGTAATGTGATGCTGATCAACTTGTGATTTGTGTACTTGTTTAGACACATGTTTTTCACTCGGGTTCTCGTCACTGGCTTTCATGGATTACACACAAGTGATTTCAAACACTTGAGTTGGCTGACCAAGTCAACTGTAGTGTGTTTGTGTATTAAGATACACGAGAATATCGTGTGGAACACTGCGACAAATTACTTACCTCAAAATACAACCAAAATTTAGTGCAAACTTAAACACAGAAATTCGATGGTGGAAAACACCAGTCAAATAATTGGAGAAACTCGATGCACAGCATATGATGGCAGTAATCGTGATAAACCTGATCAAAATATCCAAACATGATTAGGGAAAATAGTTGGTATGGAGACGATATGTTGTTTCTAAAGGACGAAAGTGTATTCCTTGACACAACTCACAATTTGACAGTACTGAATCAAGGGAGGTGCTATTATGATGTCGGTTTGTGCATAGATTAACAATGAACGACAATTAGAAGCAATAAATTGAACTCACATCTTCTAGTTGGTCTAGGCTTACGAGTTGTCGGATACCCTGAAAATCATGCGAAATAAACTTTGTAGTGAGTCGACACTCAAAGCAGAATTCAGCCTAAGAATTTGTATCTGAGGAACAAGTTATGGGTATTAGTCACAGGACAAACAATAGCCAGTGAAGAATTATTGAAATATTAGTAGGAAACAACAGTTGATCTGTCTGGTCAAGTAGATGCACTGCTGGCAATTCAAATGACCTTATCCCGTTCACACGAGTCAAAAAATAATACACAGAATTAAACATATTGGTTCGATGAAGAACTCATCACTTTGTGAAATCGTCAAGTGTGATGCAAACATGGAGGCTGCATGATTCACAATAGCATCCGTCATCCAAGGACCGTATGCTGTGATGTAGGTTCCAGTGGTGATCCACTCTGTAAAGTCGGTGAAAATCTGACAAAAGTGACTGTGAAACACAGTTATGCCACACAATAACGATAGTTTAGTAGGTGTTGAGAGTTTCGAATTATTCAGGCTTTTGATTTCATACCCGATCGTCGCTCGCACAAAATTGATTGAGCGATATTTGAGAGTCGAGTGATCTCAGAACAAGAAAGAACTGTAATGAATCGAATTGTATATAGGTGCCTCAACATCTGGTTGGTGCATGTACATTGCAAGTACGACAACGTACAACGTGAACAACAAACATGCTGACCATGATAGGGAGGTGTTGGTTTGTGTAAAATTTCGCATCACAAAGGAAAAGAAAACTGTGTCTGTATCGAACCAGTCAATGTTCGGCTGAAACGGAATGTACATCAATTGCAAATCAGGCAATCATGTGATGAAAGTTCTGTTCATTTGTGAAACAATTGAATGACGGGAATTCGCATGAACTGATGAGCGATATGAATAACTGGTTTAAAAAATCTACTCACGTCTTCTTTCTGGTCTGTCTCCACGGGTGGTGGGAGAAGCTGTAAGTGGAGTGGAGTAAAATGCAGCTAGTTAAGATATTGACAGTGGGGGAAATGTAATTGTTGAATGACGAGATCTCACAGATTCATTTAGAGTACTTCCTAGTCAGGAGTGTTTTTCAGCTTGAATCATTAACGAAATGACATCTCAAATTAGTGCGAATGACACCAAACAACTTGTTTTGTGTGGAGTAATGTGATGCTGATCAACTTGTGATTTGTGTACTTGTTTAGACACATGTTTTTCACTCGGGTTCTCGTCACTGGCTTTCATGGATTACACACAAGTGATTTCAAACACTTGAGTTGGCTGACCAAGTCAACTGTAGTGTGTTTGTGTATTAAGATACACGAGAATATCGTGTGGAACACTGCGACAAATTACTTACCTCAAAATACAACCAAAATTTAGTGCAAACTTAAACACAGAAATTCGATGGTGGAAAACACCAGTCAAATAATTGGAGAAACTCGATGCACAGCATATGATGGCAGTAATCGTGATAAACCTGATCAAAATATCCAAACATGATTAGGGAAAATAGTTGGTATGGAGACGATATGTTGTTTCTAAAGGACGAAAGTGTATTCCTTGACACAACTCACAATTTGACAGTACTGAATCAAGGGAGGTGCTATTATGATGTCGGTTTGTGCATAGATTAACAATGAACGACAATTAGAAGCAATAAATTGAACTCACATCTTCTAGTTGGTCTAGGCTTACGAGTTGTCGGATACCCTGAAAATCATGCGAAATAAACTTTGTAGTGAGTCGACACTCAAAGCAGAATTCAGCCTAAGAATTTGTATCTGAGGAACAAGTTATGGGTATTAGTCACAGGACAAACAATAGCCAGTGAAGAATTATTGAAATATTAGTAGGAAACAACAGTTGATCTGTCTGGTCAAGTAGATGCACTGCTGGCAATTCAAATGACCTTATCCCGTTCACACGAGTCAAAAAATAATACACAGAATTAAACATATTGGTTCGATGAAGAACTCATCACTTTGTGAAATCGTCAAGTGTGATGCAAACATGGAGGCTGCATGATTCACAATAGCATCCGTCATCCAAGGACCGTATGCTGTGATGTAGGTTCCAGTGGTGATCCACTCTGTAAAGTCGGTGAAAATCTGACAAAAGTGACTGTGAAACACAGTTATGCCACACAATAACGATAGTTTAGTAGGTGTTGAGAGTTTCGAATTATTCAGGCTTTTGATTTCATACCCGATCGTCGCTCGCACAAAATTGATTGAGCGATATTTGAGAGTCGAGTGATCTCAGAACAAGAAAGAACTGTAATGAATCGAATTGTATATAGGTGCCTCAACATCTGGTTGGTGCATGTACATTGCAAGTACGACAACGTACAACGTGAACAACAAACATGCTGACCATGATAGGGAGGTGTTGGTTTGTGTAAAATTTCGCATCACAAAGGAAAAGAAAACTGTGTCTGTATCGAACCAGTCAATGTTCGGCTGAAACGGAATGTACATCAATTGCAAATCAGGCAATCATGTGATGAAAGTTCTGTTCATTTGTGAAACAATTGAATGACGGGAATTCGCATGAACTGATGAGCGATATGAATAACTGGTTTAAAAAATCTACTCACGTCTTCTTTCTGGTCTGTCTCCACGGGTGGTGGGAGAAGCTGTAAGTGGAGTGGAGTAAAATGCAGCTAGTTAAGATATTGACAGTGGGGGAAATGTAATTGTTGAATGACGAGATCTCACAGATTCATTTAGAGTACTTCCTAGTCAGGAGTGTTTTTCAGCTTGAATCATTAACGAAATGACATCTCAAATTAGTGCGAATGACACCAAACAACTTGTTTTGTGTGGAGTAATGTG